AAAGACATGTCAGAAAAATGAGGTAAAAATGTATCTAATGCACTGAGGTATGATTAGAGTGTCCATTAAGTCGATTCCATGCCGTCTGGAAAATGCTGTTAAGAAGTTGGAACGTCCTTTCATTTTGGCGTGAGCAGGGTTAAATCTCAAGTAGCACTGGGGAGACTCAGGTATCTGGGCACGCCCTTCTGCTGACAGTATTGCAGAAGTACATCTGGTCTATAACGGTCTAACATACTCATTTTATATACAGTATCTCACAAAAGTGAGTACACCCCTCACATTTTTGAAAATATTTTATTATATCTTCATGTGACAACATTGAAGAAATGACACTCTGCTACAATGTAAAGTAGTAAGTGTACAGCCTGTAAAACAGTGTAAAGTTGTGAGTGGTGCAGTGTGTGAGTGTGAGGGGTGTGATGTATTTGTGTATTTGTCAAGGGTGCAATGTGTGTGTGAGTGCAATATGTGTGTGACAGGTACAGTGTGTGCCAGAGTACAATGTGTGTGTGTGATGGGTGTAATGTGCGTAAGAGATATTAATGTGTGTGTGTGTGTGTGAGGGATGCAATGTGTGTCTAAGAAAGTGAAATATGTGTATATGAGGGGTGCAGTGTGTGTGTGTGTGTGTGTAAGGGGTCCAGTGTGCATAAGGAGTGCAGTGTGTGTGGGTTTTGCAGTGTGTCATTGAAGGGTGTGTGAGGGGTGCAATGTTAAAAGTACTGGGAGGTAAAAGGCATAAATTGTGTGTGGAGGAAGCCATTATGCTTCCTTTCATTATTATTTTGTTTTAAAATGACATCTCCCCTCCCTTCTTACCTTTCCTCAGAGTGGGGGGGGCATTGCTTGCAAGCCCTAGTGGTCCAGTGGTCAGGGAACTCTAGCCTGCAGCTCCTCTGGCAGGAGTTCACACTCGCGAAACTCAATCTGTAGAAGCGTTGCAATGGTACTGTAATGTAAGAGCAGTCCACCAGGCCCCAACTTTCCCAGTTGTCCAGTCCATTGTATACCACAAGATTTGGGAAAGTTCTTCTTTACATTTATTCTTGAAGCATAGAGTAGGCATAGTTAAAGTAACACTAAAGCGTTAGGAATGCCTACTTTATTCATTGTCTCTTGTTAGATATAGCCCACTCTGTGTATGTGATAAAAATAATTAATAATGTTTCTTACCTTTTTCCAGCGCCAAGACTACCTCGGTTCTGCTCACCTATCCGCCTTCCACCATGTTATTAAGGTGGCATGGCCTCCGTCGTTGGCTAAAACCAATGCTCCTCTTAGAGGAGCATTGAGGGACCTGATGCACATGTGCAGCGAGTGTTGTGCATGCAAACATTGTTCCCCATAGGAAAGCATGGAACCCGCGGTGGATTTAACCTTTAAAAAACTGTCTATGTCTTACATCGCAATCTTAAAGTGAGGGTCACTGTACCCAGGCCACTCCATTGTGATGACGTGGCTTGGGTGACTTTAGTGTTGTTTTCAATGCTATGAGTACTGTCAGGGAATCACAGCTGCTTAAATGTTTTTGATAGTGAATCATTGTGTTTTTCATTTGTTTTTTTAGCAAACCAGATAGATAAGATAGAACAGAGGCGGAAAATTGCCCGGAATATGTAATACTAAGAATTGGAAAAACAAATTTTAAAAAAACAAGACAATAATAAAAACCCAACAACCCACTAGAATGTGCATTAGTCAAAAACAAAATTCATGGTACAATATTATCTATTTATTTGTGGAAATCACAGTTCAAAATGTCAAGTGCAACAGGCTTTCACATTAAATAATTAACATGTTAATAAATAGCAATATTACAGAAATTTAATAATAATAATAATAATAATAATAATATTTAAACTTCATAGACTGCATGGCTACAATCTATGTATAGCGGCATAAATAAACAAAACAGAAATTATAGTTAAACTTAGTCGTTAGACAAAATATACATAAAAATAATTTAACATGGCACATTAACCTCTAAACATTCTTTAGAGAGATATAAATAAACATAAACTAGGGATTTATTCGCTGAATGGTGAGTTATGGTCAGTCAAAAACCTACTTGCAGAAGTCAGACCACAATAATGAAGTTGTAAAAAAAAATCCACGAGAGGTAGATTTTCCCAAACTTCACTATTCTGGCCTTCATGTTTGAAAGTCGGTTGGTGTCTCACAACCGATTCCCCAGGACTCAAGTGTTCAAAAATTTACTAATTTCTCTGATTTTCGTTAGTTTGATAGTACACTTTTTTTCCACAGGGTTTGTTAGCTTTAAAATAGTTCACACTTTTTAAATTACATTATTCTTTTACAGTAACAACACATTATTGGGTTTTTAAAAAATCCATTTATAGATATTGATTCCCCCACCTCCCCATTTATTTCATTGTCAGAGGGAAAGAGACACAAGAATGCTAAATAATTCACAACATCATTAAGATAAGTGGACAGGGCTTTTCAAGGGCCCCGCAAATGGGCTCTTTAACTATAGGAGGCTGTATTTCCTAGTGTTAGTGAGTACTACAATGTTGTATTCCTTCAATAAAGCACTGCTAAAAATATTTATAACAAACAGACTTCATACAAAAGTGTCAGATTATTTCAGATTTTTGTGTGCCAACATTTCCTTTAAATCACATTGATGTTTTACAGTACCCAGTTTTATTGAATACGTAAGAATTTTTATAAAATAGCCACCACTTGGTTTAGTTCAGAAACCAGTATACTTATTAAAAACTTACTTTGTCACTGAAATCTTTACAATAGTTATCCTTAGATGTTCACACCTATTTATTAAGTTACTCCCACTCATCTAATCAGCAGATCGGCTATGCATTGTATAATTATTGTATCTAATAAACGGTAAAACATGCTTCCAGGTCATGTAAAAGATTATTAGAAGTAATATGAGGTGGTGAAGGAGATTTAAACTTAAAGGGACACTATAGGCACCAAAACAAATTTAGCTTAGTGAAACGGGTATAGTGTATAAATAAGGTCCCTGCAGTCTCCCTGCTTAATTCTCTGCCATTTAGGAGTTAAATCACATTGTTTCTGTCCATATAGCCCTAGCCACATCTCCCCAGGCTGTGACTGACACACTTACTTTAGAAGTTCTTATCTCCTGCTCTGTAAATTGAACTTTAATTACACACAGAATGCTCCTGTATGGTCTAGAAGGCTATTAACAGAGCAGAAGATAAGACATTCTAAATTAATCCCAATGTGCAATAAAGAAAGTTTAAACATTAGATCTCTCTTTACAGGAAGTATTTTGGAAGGCTGTTTAAGACAAGGGCTGCATAAACAAAATGATTTATCTCCTAAATGGCAGAGAGTTGAGCAGTAAGGCTGCAAGGGCATGATCTATACACCAAAACTGCTTCATAGTTACATAGTTACATAGCTGAAAAGAGACTTGTGTCCATCAAGTTCAGCCTTCCTCACATTTGTTTTTTGCTGTTGATCCAAAAGAAGGCAAAAAAAAAAAACAGTTGAAGCACTTCCAATTTTGCAACAAGCTAGGAAAAAATTCCTTCTTAACTCCAGAATGGCAGTCAGATTTATCCTTGGATCAAGCAGTTATTACC